CGCACCCCGCTCCCCCCACCTCTGAAGTGGGTAGTGTAGGTTTCCACTTTCTGGTTTGGATTTCGGATGTGGTCCCAGCCCGAGGGATCAGAATGGGGGGGAAAGGGCCGCTCAGGGGCACGAAGCATGGTTAGGGCGCTTGGTGGGATGCACTGAGGCCCAGTTAACGTGGTCCCGGGAACTGGGGGCACCGGACGGGCTGCAGTGGTGAGCGGCCGCTGTAAGGGCTACCAGAGACGGCCCCTGCTCCAGCCTTGGTGGGGGTCCGCCCCATCCCCGAGAGTCGCGCTCTGATTGGCTGGAGGAACCGCCACTCAGCTCCTAAAGTGCGAGCGCCGCCGGTGATTGGGGGCTGCTCCTGATTGGTCCAGATGTGCCAGGGGCGGGACCAGGACTGTCCTTAAGTGACCCCGCCCCGCGGCTTCCCGCCTTCCCAGTGAAGGTCGGCTGTCTTCCGGGTCGACCCTCCTGACTTGACTCAGCCCCAGACGGCCGCTGGGGCCCGTCCCTCCTCGACCCCCGGGGCGCACCCAGGCTCGTGCCCGAGACGCCTCCGCCCCTCTTCCGTCCCATTCCCAAATCCCTGTCTTGGGGCACCCAGGAAATGCTTTCACGTTTGTCCTGACTTTAACCTCGCGTGAGGAGGGAGGACCTGGGTTTGCAGCTTGGCACCGGAGAGGTGAGACTGCATTGACAACAACTCCCCGAACGTGCCCACTCCGGGCCCCTCTCTGGGTCTCCATGGCAGCAGCAAGGCCAGCCCTTGTCCTGCGGAGCTGCTGGTGGTTTCAAACCTCCAACCGTGTGGATCCCAGCCCAACGTGCAACCCCCACCCCCCCCCCCAGGGCTCCTGGATGGAGGGAAAGAGGGGTTCTTAGCTCAGGGGGTTACTGCGGGGAGGCGCTTCATGCAACGCCTGGTGCTCCAGCGGGAGGACGGCCGGGGTCTTGATCCCTCCCAGTTTTGACCCTTCTGTACGCACACACACACACACACACACACACACACACACACACACACGTGTTGAGACCTCACTGGAGGGGCAGCGCTGAATGTGCACCGTGCAGCTGAGAGCGGCTCCCGCGCTCGTGGCTGGGGAGCCCCGCGTGCAGCATTGAGGTGAGGTCGCGCCCCAGGGTGTCTGTCGGTGGGAACCCTTGGACCTAGCGTTCGGCGCGGTGGAAAGAATAGCGAGAACGAGCGGCGATACCCAGCGAGACCTGCAGGCGGCAGCGTGGGTCAGGGCACGAGCTGCTCTTCCGCGCAGACCTGTCCGCAGGCCGGCGGGCACGCGGGGCCCTGGGACCCCAGGCCGAAACGCATAACCGCCCAGAACACCACCAGCTCTCGGATTTCTCCCTCCTCTTGTCCCTTTCGTTGATTGTGGTACACTGACCTCTTCGCAGCATCTAGGCTAGCTCTCTGCCAGGGGCGGAATTGTGTCAATACCCCCTTCCCTCTGGCAATCCCTGTCTGTATTTAGGATAGGAGGCCCCTATGTCAGAAAGAAGGGCACTGGGGGGTTATCTGTGTACTGAAACAGCCCCTCAATTGTCCAGGGATCTCTATGCTTTAAAGAAATACCGTTTCTCCCGGGGTCTCCGGCTCTGTGAGCTCTGGCCTTGCCCCGAGTTGCGTTAACTGGGCTTGCTGGAAAGCACACAACAGTGCTGTCTACATGACGCGGGCCAGCTCGCCTCAGAATCATTGTCAGCGCTACCGAACGTGGACTTAGGCCTGAGGACAAAAGGTAAGGATGGACCTGCCCACCTGTCCATTGCAGGGCGACTTTTCTGATCTCAGGAGATCTGAAACAGGCTGTGGCCAGCGCGAAGTTTTCAAATTTAGGGCAAATGTTTAAGGAAAGAAAGAGAAAGCAAAGCTGAGACAAAACGTTGAGGGGAAGACTAGGAACCCAGTCTCTTTATTTAGAGAAAGAGAAACAGCCATTCGTGTCCTACAGGAAACCTTCAACGGGTTTTCAGGGATAGTCTCATTCACTTCTCTCTGTGTCCCTTGGTAGGCTTTACCGCAGGGGACCTCAAACTTTTTAAACGGGGGGCCAGTTCACTGTCCCTCAGACCCATTGGAGGGCCAGACTATAGTTTAAAAAAAGCTATGAACAAATTCCTATGCACACTGCACATATCTTAGTTTGAAGTAAAAAAACAAATGGGGTGTAAACACCCGGCAGGCTGGATAAATGTCCTTGGCAGGCCGCATGTGGCCCGCAGGCCCGTACTTTCAAGTTACCTGCTTTACGGAGTCAATGGCGTGTAAACAGTGTTTGGCTCACTTAGGGAGATTTCTCACCTCTTTGAATTCACACACCAGTCCTGTTTCACCCGCTTTGAGTAATGAGTCCAACACCATAGCCCTTCCCTAGGCTGAACCTCCTGTATCCACAATCACCTCTCTTTCCATGACTCCCAGCCTGGAGTCTTGGAGCTGAGGAGGCAGCCAGCTATAGAGAAGCAGCACGTTACCTCTAATAAGCAGGAGTAAGGTATTAGAAAGCTATTCTGAAGAGCCGAAGGAAAAGCCGAACAGGCAGGCTTTGGAAAGGACAGAAGCCAGGACAGCTCTGAGATCTCGACAGTAGTGACCAAAGGTCAGTGTTTCCACCAGGATCAACTGATCAAATTCCAGGGGAAGCGCTTGCTGGCCCAGGCTGGGTCACTTGATCGAAGACCCGCTCTTGACTGCAGGAGGACAGGGCACTTTGACCAGCAGCACCACAGATGGGGGTGGCGAGCGGCCTCTCTGTGAAACAAGATCTAGGTACCAGAAGAACGGGAAGCAGATGCTGGGTGGCAAAATCCAGCGAATGTCCATGTGCTCAAATTCCACCTCCACCACGAACATCCATGCAACCTGCCCTTCACAGTGCGATGTCTCCACTGGCAGCACAGGTAATTATCGTTCCTCTCAGACTCTCCCTTTGTCCTCCCATCACATCAAACGGCTTGTAAAGAAAGAGACAAAAGCACCATTGTTCAACGTGTGAGTCAGTCCAGACGCCAGCTCCTGAAGGCAATGGGTACAGTTTAAAGAAGAGGTGCTGGAGAAAGGACGAAGAAGTATTAACATGTGAGTGAGACAGAGAGAGATGAAGAGCTCCATCTATCTTTTTTTTTTAAATCATTTTACTGGGGGCTCATACAACTCGTCACAATCCAGACGTACATCGATTGTGTCAAGCACATTTGTACATTCGTTACCCTCATTATTCTCAAAGCATTTCCTTTCCACGTAAGCCCCTGGCATCAGCTTCTCATTTTCCCCCTCCACGCTCCCCCCACCCTCATGAACCCTTGATAATTTACAAATTATTTTGTCATCTTACACTGTCCGACATCTCCCTTTACCCACTTTTCTGTTGTCCGTCCCCCAGGGAAGAGGTTATATGTAGATCCTTATAATCGGTTCTCCCTTTCTACCAACCCTCCCTCCACCCTCCCGGTATCGCCACTCTCACCACTGGTCCTGAAGGGATCATCTGTCCTAGATTCCCTG